CAAATTACGCAATAAACACGTTGTTTTTTTCTTGAGTAGCGTGAACTGATCGTGAACTCCGATTTGACCATGTTATATCGAGGTGGAATTGATTTTGAAATAATTTTAGCTTTCAATCTAAAGACTGTGTCTATCGCAGAAAGTATTTACTTACAAACAAAGAGGTGCTAATTCCACAAACTTGACTAGCCGCTACCATGGAGGTAATATCTCTTTTCTACCTCCATGCCGCTACGTATCGTGCAACTAGGTCTATTGTTTATAAATTATAATCCACGACTGACAGGATGCGTGTCGGTCGGTACGTAATTATACTAACAATCAGACAATAGTCCTCGTCGGAAGCATTTCCGTGGTGGTCACTAATTTTGAGTGACGGTCGGGGCCGACCGACGTGGCGAACAAAGATTTTTCACATCTGATATTGGCATGTCAAATATGAAATCAAGCGCCGAGGTGGGAACACATAGCGCCGAGGTCCCAAGTGAAGCGCCGAGATTCACAGGTATAGCGCCGTGGACCTCGGCGCTAAAAAGCCCTGGGGAGAACCCTGTAAATAGATGAAATTGTTTTCTAAAAATCAATGTGGAAGATTGTTTTTTTTATCTCTATTATAAAATTGGGCTTTAATTTTTCATGAAAACTGGATTTTTCTTCTTTTTTTTTTTTTAAACACAAAAACCTAAAAGAACAGATGCAATGCACATGAATATTTATTTTATCAAACGTATTTCAAATCTTGTTCAACTGACTGCAAATTAAGCTAGAAGTGGATTGTGAACAGCTTTCTAGAAGGTAACACGGTCTTCAACATATCTCACCTGAAACGTGGCTGCTCTTAACTGCAACGCCTCAGATAGATATTGCTCTATGTGTGGCATGCTACTAATACTAACTTTCTTCTCTTTGATCAATGAGGCGATTGGAAAGCTACGAATCACCACCTGCTCACAAGCTGTGAAAACAGAAACCACAAAATAGAAGTATTAATATCGAGTATAATACATTTGTATTTACACTCAAAAGATATTGCCATGACGTTTGTGCAAGGTAAGATCAATTCTTGAGTCCTTGAATTACGACAAAACCCTGAGTCATTTGAGAATGTTGAAACATAAATTTTTACGTTTTGAGGTTTTTATGGCATTTAAGGACAAAATGTCATATACGCCACTGACACTTTGTGTCTTAGGACCACAGAGAAATTATCACTCTTACTCGCAAAATTCATGAAAATGTTTCTCATGAAATTTACATTAAAATAACATTTAAATTTACAGTAATTATTTGTATATCCAGCATCAACATCAACAAATTTTTATTTGCATTTATTCAAAATGATTTAAATTTGTCTCTTGTTCCAGATTATTTTTGTAAAGAGACAGAAAAACATGCGAAGTTGAATAAATGTGTACCTTGTATATCGCATGGTGTTGCCTTTAAAGACAACTCTATATGTTGTGAGAAAAAGAGCGCCCTCTGCAGGTAGAAGTTGCGGACCCCCTAAGTTGATGCCACTTCCTTCTTCTCTGCCATCTTGTATGAGGTAACCTCTCAGGCCATCTAGAACCAGCTCCTCTCCTGGCAGCAATGATGGTTTTAAGATCTTCGGCTGAGAAAGAAGTGAAAGAAAAATAAAGTAAGATAGCATACAGACACATAGTAAAAATTTATCTTAACTTGAAATTAATCATCACATACCTTCTTGATCGGTGGCAGTCGTTTGCTTTCTTTGTTCACTGCTTCTAATGTTTCAATGTGCATAGCAACAACACCTATGAGGTAAACGAAAACAAAAATTAAACCCACAAACAGCAAAATGCTGCACATGCCACCAACTATATACAAGTCACACAGCTTGAGTGAAATCAGCCCAGGGAATGATCAAGAACAGATTTTGGATTTTGAACAAACCGGCTTCCAGTCAAACATACACTGTTGTATATTAAATCATATTAAATCATAAAACCAAATACAAAACGACATGCATTTGCTATCCTACTGCATACAACAGTTCATGGGTATAAGTTTATATTTTTTTACCTGGTATCATTTGATGAAGTGATTTCTGATGTTCCGGCGTGACTTCGCCTTCACTGCATACTTTATCTACAAACTTTGATATGAAGCGCACTACACTACCAGCTGGGTCGGTATTATCCCCTTCTTCAAAACCGCTCTCTCCTTCCAGACTGTCGCTGCCACCAA